GTACTTGAATTTATAGCTGCACTACTTTACTAGGTACAATCAAAACTTAAATATTCAACTTCCAAAAAAAGTATAACACGATGCCTAATATCTGCACTAATTCTTATCAATTGTTTTCCCGATAAACATATAGCAAATAATTTAAATAGGATACGTTAAAAGTGATATATTTGAATAAATCTTATTTCTTATTTATAATATTGTATTCAACAGGTATCTGTAGTAGATGCAATACACCTATTTTCTTTATTTAAACCAAATGGCTGTCAACGTTTATTTAAATTAGAACCTACCAATTTTTTTTACCAAAAACTCTACTTGATTAGAGTAATTTTATAATTAACACGGTGTTAGTYATGGAAAAACTGTAAAAGTAGATCACTTGGATAGGTACGAAATATTTTTAATGGTGAACTTAATGTTTTTTTTTCATAAAATATCTCATTGATCTACTTTATCAACGAAGTAAGTGTGTATTTACTATTTAATACCATTTTTGTAGTATAGACTACACAAATTAGAGCTAAAGTTTTTTTGTTACTAAATCATATCAGATGGAATAAAAAATAAATTCATATACGTTTATTCAATATAACAATTTAGTTTGATTTATTCAATAAAAATATAATAGCTCTATATTACATCTAACAAAGTTGAACATATCATGGTGTTTATCAATTAACTACAAAAAGTATTAAAGCTAAGTTACTAAAACTAAATACAAATTATTATTATTTGTATAGTATTTAAAAATAATTTTATTTTTAAAAATAATGATATATTATATTGTGGATGATAATTTTATAAATCTTTATAATCTACAACAAATATAGGAAGTAATAGTATGAAAAATAGTTGAATTACAACTTATAAAGGTACATAAACTTTTATATAATTTCAACTTATTTTTTGTTTTTTAAGCACCATAAGTATCTGTATACTTATGAGTCATACACAACACACACTACATAAATATTTTAATATATTATTAACATATGTTTGCTACTGTTGGTTTGATCAATATACATAATATTATTATTGAATATACATTGTATAGGTACAATACATTCTCAATGATATTATGTATTTAATGTAATTACAAAATAAAATAAAAATATAATTTTATATTTAATATTATTTGAAATGAATAATTTATATGATTATAAAATAAGTATTAAATGTTATAAGTATATTAAATATTAATATCTTATAAAGATCTACTACTTTAAAATATTCAAACACTGTAAAAATAATGTTTAAAGTGCTTACATAATATGATACTAAACAGTAAAATATATTTAAATATCAATATTTTAGTTCACAATATTACAATATTAATCAATAGGTTCTTCACAATTTATGAATTTATATTGTTTGAACACACTGTAAGAATAAAAAAAATATTCAAGGTCAAAGTATACACCGGTTTTATCACAGACAATATGCAATTTGTTTTCAATAATAATTTCAATCTAAGATTATTTTATATTGGACCAAATGTTGGTGTTATATTATTACAAATGTAAAAATTATATTGATAGGATATATCATATAACAAATGAACTAAAATGTAAAAAAAATAATACGGCTATAACAGGAGAGGAACTAATTTCAGTGAAAATTYAAAACATGATTTGATAACTTCAAAGAGAAAAATGTATACAGGGTGTAGAAATAAAACCCAAAAACCTATATTATTTTATCTAAAAGTTGGAAACACATTACAAACATGTATGGGATATACCTACTGTAGTCATTACTTAAGTTAACTAAAATACAATTTGTCTGGATACTTTTATAAAATTAAATTAGAGTATGGCAATCACTTAATAACTGGTTCTTGATAAATTGATTTATAATGCTTATAAAAAAATAGTTTTATGCATTTAAACATTGAATTGGAACATAGAAGGAGTTGTTTTTTTTAGTACAAATAGTTTGAATGGAAACCTTGAGTTTTGTACAACTTCTGATCTAAAGAATGGTGGTCCATTCAAACGTTCAAAAGTATTATCACGTTTGGGAAAATTGATTGCTTTTGTTTTTTGATCAATAGGATTTTTACTAGGATTAATTACCGGTACAGGTTTTTTGTTCCAATTTAAATCTTGATTAATTTCTGGTTTGGGTAAGTCTACAACAAATTTCTTAAAAGTTAAATCTTCTTCAACTTGTAATCTTCTTGGTGGTAAAGGTGGAGCCATTCTTCTTGGTGGTATAGGTGGTCTGAATGATCCATCTATTTTACTCAGTCTAGGAGGAACTGGAGGAACATCATTATTTTTTCCTAAAGTAAATGTTACTGGTGCAAAGACAGAATCATCTACATCTCTTTTGTCCATTTGAATAACTAGAGAACTTGATGAACTTAAATTTCTTCTACCTTGAACATCCATATCTTTGGAGGATACTGATGGCACTCGTATTTTAGACTTTAAACCAGGTGACTTAAGGTTTAAGTCTGGCCATTTTCGTGGATATTTTGGAATTTGTTTGCAATTTCTTGGTTCAATTTCTAAAGATTTTTCATACAAATAGTTACTAATATCTGTATCTTTCATATCATTGAATGGATTTAAGTTCTCTAAAAACTTTTTTATTTTAGGCTCAACATTCAAACAATATGGTTGATTTTGATATTGCTGGATTTCTCCAATAATTTCAGCCACTTTTCTCCGTTTATTAAAATTAATTAAATTTGGGTTGTTTGTCAAACAATCTGGATTACCTTCTTCAATATGCAATATATTTGTTAAATACATACCAATAAAAGGGACACATGGTGGATTTATACTTCTTAATTTATCTTGATATTTTCTAAAATGATTATTACTCAAATCTCGAGCTTCTTCTARAGCTCTGTCAAGTCTAGCATTGACAGATTGCATTGTAAACTTTAAGCGAAATACTGCAGCTGAACTCATAGCTGAAAGAACACCTAAGACACCATTGAAATTATTTAGTTCATCTAATGCCATCATTACTTCAATAAATCTTGACACAATCGCTACTCTTTCCTCAATATTTTCACATTCAACAACAGCTTTTTCAATCCAACGACTAAAATTTGTAGTACGTTTGATTAACCGAAGTAAATTTGGAGAGTTAATTTCTTTGTCCTTCTTAGTCCACACAGATCCAACCAACTCTGAAGGTTTAACTGCTCTATAATTTTCAGATTCAATAAGAGTCAACTGTCTTGCAAATTCAATAGGATGTACAAGTAGAATGTTAAAATCGTCATTTCCATTAAAATCCATATGAACTTCAATTGCTGGCGGTGGTGAATCAAATGCAAACGTTATTTCTTTTTGAGCTTCAGAAGTTTTTCTTTGAATTATTTTAATAACTGAATCTGCCCATTTTTTCATTGATTTTCCGTTTATTGATTCTATAAATGCATGCAATTTATCTAATAAAGATGGATCACATTGATAATCATAATAATGATAGTCGACCCAATGCCTAATCACATTTAACACTCTAAATTGAACAGGTACTAAATATTCTTTTTTAAATCGTTTTGTTTCATCTCGAAGACTTACTGAATCCATAGTTATACCAAAAGGCTCAGGAATGTTATACCTTTCAATTAGGAGATCCATTAAATCATGAGGTGAACAAAAACTACGATATGTTGTTAAGAATGTTTTAACAAATTTTGGATCAGCATAAATATGATATGTCAATCGTTCTATAAGTTTCAGTAAAATGGCACCTTTTATAAGAGGAACACCATTATTTTCTTTTTCTTCAAAAATTATGTTAGACCGAGAATCAGGTTCAACAAATCTGTATTCTTCAATTGAAGGTAACCGTAATGGAAATTTTTTATCTTCATCGAGTAATATACTGTTTAAAGTTCTATCTAGCATACTTTTTGTGTTCAGCATAATTAAATCGGCCATCCAATTAGCTTTATCCTTAAAAGAACTGGCAACTAATATTACTGGTGGCTGTAAACGAGGTACTATTTCAAAAAAATTTTTTGTTTCATCTGTATCATCTCTATCAACAATTTCCACTTTTCTAATAAATAATTTTTCTTTTAATTTGAATTCAGACAAGCCACCTACAAGTTGAGAGCTGACTGATACTGAAGTCCTTCTGCTATTTGATTTACATAAAAGAAGAACACCATCAAATAATATTGCTTTACGCTCTGAACAACGCTTACCTCCACTTGAAACTTTTACAAGTACTCCTTCTCTTATGAACTCTGTGCAACATTGACCCATATCTTTACCATCCCAACCATCAATAGCTTTTTGCATTTCATTTAGTTTTTCAATGGCTAACAATCGTCTAGGTGTTGCATTAATCTTAAGTCCAAATTCTTTGACATTATCTGGTAAGTTAACCTGATTTGCAGCTGATGTCATTTGTAACTGCAAAGGTCTCAAAATGCCTTCTACTTGTTCTAAACATTCTTTATCATGCTGGGATGGAGAAAGTTGATGTAAAATTCTAAAATACTCAAAATAGATAATACAATGCCATAAGGGTAATAGTAACAATTTTGGAAAATAATATTTTACTGCTTCTTTAAAACCATAACCAGCTGATTGAAGTAAATTTGAAACTTCTGGTTTACCAATTAAGTTCCAAAATATATCTCTACATTGTTTTTTAACAATATCATTTGCATAGCGAGCAAATACATCAAATTCAGCCGCTTCAGCCAACTCTTCAATACAACAACCAACTGTAGCTGATTTATCCTCTGCAATTTCCAATATGTCTTCAATAGAACTTAAAAATAATGCAGTAGTTTTACAAATGTCTGTAATATTGTTGAAC